TGCTGTAATAGTTTGTCTCCTGTCACTATTTGTAAAGAGTATTCTCTAAAAGTTTGTCAAACTCTAAAATAGAGACTGTCTACAGCTGAAGTTTATAAAGAGTACTCTGTTACAATTTAGTATAAATACAGGTTCGAAATTATGTGACAAAACGAAGATATATTGTCTGGTATTACTATTAGATACAGACTGTAGTCTAGGTATATATCTAAGAAAGCGCCATCTGTGGGTAATTTGTCCCAGTGTAAATATAGACAGAAGAGAGATACGAGATAAAGATATTGCTGTGCCTTCGAGGGCACCTACCAGGTAGAAGGGCTAACTATAGAAAATGAAGAGAGGAAAAAGGAAAATGAGAGCGCTGAGAGCGTAATAACCACAGATAATATATGCGGCTAGATCCTTAATTCACCTCCCAAAATACCCTGAGAGCGCTGAGAGCGGACTAACCACAGGTAATGGATGCGGCTAAGTCCTTAATTTCCCTCCCAAACTACCCAAAAACTATGTATCTATAAATCAAAATAGAAAAGTCCAAAAGTAATCACTGCAAGTGCAGAGGGTATAATGCTGGGAGGGAAATTAAGGACTTAGCCGCATCCATTACCTGTGGTTAGTCCGCTCTCAGGGTATTTTAGGAGGTGAATTAAGGATCTAGCCGCATATATTATCTGTGGTTATTACGCTCTCAGCGCTCTCATTTTCCTTTTTCCTCTCTTCATTTTCTATAGTTAGCCCTTCTACCTGGTAGGTGCCCTCGAAGGCACAGCAATATCTTTATTTCGTATCTCTCTTCTGTCTATATTTACACTGGGACAAACTACCCACAGATGGCGCTTTCTTAGATATATACCTAGACTACAGTCTGTATCTAATAGTAATACCAGACAATATATCTTCGTTTTGTCACATAATTTCGAACCTGTATTTATACTAAATTGTAACAGAGTACTCTTTATAAACTTCAGCTGTAGACAGTCTCTATTTTAGAGTTTGACAAACTTTTAGAGAATACTCTTTACAAATAGTGACAGGAGACAAACTATTACAGCAGTGAGTCTCTGTATAGAGCTGGACACTTTGGTCCATTTAGACATTTAAAACAGCATCCCCAACTATTTAGATGCTGTTTTTTCGTCTTTTTAAATCTTACATTTCTGCATATTGTCTTCTCATGCCTCTATACATATGTATCTAGACGTATTGAGAGAAAATGTATGAAATGATCACTTTGTATTTCATTCACTATTAAAAGTTATGTTTTACAGTATTTTTAATGGCAGTGTTCATTCTCCTCTTGTCTTTCAACCAAAATTGCTTAGGGTTAACCCCTTCACTGCCCTGATACTTTACCCTCATACCAGGCTTTCACTTTGTTAAACTTTCTATGTAACTATAACTGCTTCATCTCATTGAAGTGGTTATAATGTCTGGAGTTCCCTGGCGCTGTCCCTCCGTTCAGCATTCAAACTTTTTTTAAATGTTTTAATGCTAACCAAGAGTTCCCAGCAATCTATTCCTCTGTGGAATGGAGAGTTGTGATTGGCTAAGAGTGTCAGCTGGCTGCTTTCAGATAATTACAGAGCCCGTTGCTGGTAAAAATTGGTATAGCTAGGAAGTGTGCAATTCCTGCCTTAGCCATACTTTCAGTGGGGACTGGGCTGTGGGGGACTGGGATCCCTTTTTAGTATTAAACGGCTAAAAAAAATAGTCCAACACTGAATGCTGGAACAGCACCAGGAGACTCCAGACACTAAAACCAATTCAATGAGATCAAATCTTCCCCAAGGTCAAAGGTTACTAGCTCTCCCAAATTTCCTGTACTTTCATGGGGCGCTACAGTTTGTCTTATTCATGCCCCTTAAATTGTCTGCATTTTGAACTACTCTCTGAACTGAGAATAACTTACTAAAAGTAATATCAATCTATTATTACTTGCAGTGGCAAATTCTCCTCCCGACTGACTGTTCACACAGAGTTTTTAAGTGTCCCATTAAACCACCCTACAAAAATCCATGTATTAAATTAATGTGGTTAATTGTTTTTGAAAAACCTTTATAAGAAAAAACAAGCATTCAGAATAGGTGGTTCCACTAACCAACAGATGCTAGCATGTCAGAAGTAGCAAAAAAGCCCAAATGTAATTCAACAGTAGACAAAAAACACAATGTGTTAAAACAGGATTTAAGTGATATTGTCAGTGTAAAGTGTAAAGTGCAGCGCTAAAAAGTTTTTAAAGCTTACCCATGCATTCAACAAATGTTTTCATATACATGCTGGGGGAAAAAAATAAAAGAGAGAAATATAATAGTGCAAAATTGTTTAAATTAACCAAAACAAGTAATTCATTTGAAAAAGGAATGCTCACAATCAAAGAGCCTTTTAGACGTTATGGCCCTGAACGTGCTGGCTTTCTGTGCCTTTCCATACGAACAACATACAAAGTCAGCCAGATACATCACTTCCGCCATTCGTGCGGACAAACAAATAATCAGTGAAAGCATCTGGTTCGAATGATGCCCTCGGCTGAACGAGCATCCTATTGGACGAAAGAACCATCGAACATCCCTTTTTAAGGAAGGAAGTAAATGGAAGAATGCACCGATTGAAAAAGTCTGTATAATAGGGCAACGCGTCTCGGAGACCTGGAGGATTATAGATTTTATGCTTTATCATTTTTGGTTTTATCTCCTATGTGGAGTTTTTCTTTAGTTGTAATTTAATAAAGTTTAAACTATTTGTTAATCTTACAATCCTCTGGGACCAGCATTCTTTCCTTTTACACCTCTAGGGGGTCCTTGCCACTTTTAAACTGTCAAGTCTGCACGTAAACTTGGTGCCAGTTATATATGGGTTTCAAATCAAGGTGAGCAGTAACCTGTGGATACTTTATTAGAAGTAGTAATTGTTCCAACAGTCTGGACTACTTTTCTTGCACTTTATATCTCCTGTTATATGTACACACTCCACTGGAGTTCATTAAGGGCTACAAGACAGAAGGTCCCTGTTGCTATCTTAAGAACACAGAAAGCCAGCATGTTTAGAGCCATAACGTTTAAAAGGCTCTTTGATTGTGAGCATTCCTTTTTCAAACAAATTGTTTTGGTTAATTTAAACAATTTTGCACTATTATATTTCTCTCTGGTTTTTTTTTTTTGGGGGGGGGGTTCAGCATGTATATGAAATTTTTTTTTAAATGCACGGGTAAGCTTTAAAAACGTTTTAGTGCCGCACTTTACACTGTTTACGTCAGGAATGGGCAATAACACATAAACCCTGTTTTAACATGTGTTTTTGTCTACTGTTTAATTTCTGGGTCTATATGAGAACCAATAGAGTGCTACAGCTGCTATTGGCAATACAATTACTAAGCGCCCAAGTTCCACACATAAAAACACCTATCCCTGCAAATGTGGGTAAAGAGGGCAAGCCAGTGTTGCAATCTTGGAAAAGTCTGAAAATCTGCCCAAATTACTGGCAGGTCAGTCTGGTATGAATGCATGCCAGGCTAACTGCCAATCATGTAAGGCCATCCCACAGAGGGTAGACCATGCAGGGAGCACTCTTTCAATGCTCCCTGTAGGGTCTTGTTGCCCTGAACATAGCGCAAGCGCGACTTATAATGCGCATGCGTTATGCTTGTTGGGGACAACAAGCATAACGCTTGTTGTCAGGACAGGACCCGAAAATTGTGACTGTCCTGCCAAAATAGGGACCATTGGGAGGCCTGTAATATAAATACCATTGCATAATAAATAATTGAATAAATAATACCAGATTATTTCGCAACGAGATACTGCATGGCCAAATCGTCTTTACACTAAACACTACTAAAAGGCCAATTTCAAGTTTAACCCTCTCTATGCCCAGATGGCTCATCATTTACTGTTAATTACTGAGCTATTAATATACTCAGCTGCTAACTGGTAACTTATTGACTGGTCCATCTGTAACAGTAATTTCAAATTTGTGCTGGCATATATAAAGCCAATCACCTCTAGCTGTAGCTGTCAGACAGGAAGCCACTAGAGGTGTGTTTAACCCTTTAATGTAATCATGTCCATATCTTTGAAACGGCAATATTTTACATGAAATGCTTTCAGTTCGGATACTCTGCCCTTAAATCTGAAATTAACTTTCAATTCATTTTGGATTCTCACTTTAGTAAATAGCCTTGTCAGTCAACGTAGCTGGAAATTCCCCTCTTGACCTTAGGTTGATACCATTCAAATTTAGGGGAAGCCAGCCATACCTTATATGCTTGGTATTGCATTGATATGTCGTGCTGCCTACCTAACCTATAGTAAGTGCAAGTAAATTCATTAAATAAGAAGGAATCCTAAAAGAGCTTCCTTGATTACCCTCCAGCAGAATGTAAATTCTATGTTGCCTTTTGAATCTCTTGGCTAGATATTCCATGCCTTCACACGACTGAAGAGACATTACCTTTGGCCATGCTTTCACACGACTGAAGACACATTACCTTTGTCCATGCCTTCACACGACTGAAGAGACATTACCTTTGGCCATGCTTTCACACGACTGAAGACACATTACCTTTGTCCATGCCTTCACACGACTGAAGAGATATTACCTTGGGCCATGCCTTCACACGACTGAAGAGACATTACCTTTGTCCATGCCTTCACAAGACTGAAGACACATTACCTTTGTCCATGCCTTCACACGACTGAAGAGACATTATCTTTGCCCATGCCTTCACACGACTGAAGAGAAATTACCTTTGTCCATGCCTTCACACGACTGAAGACACATTACCTTTGTACATGCCTTCACACAACTGAAGACACATTACCTTTGTCCATGCCTTCACACGACTGAAGAGACATTACCTTTGTCCATGCCTTCACATAACTGAAGACACATTACCTTTGTCCATGACACACTTACCTTTGTCCATGCCTTCACACGACTGAAGACACATTACCTTTGTCCATGCCTTCACACGACTGAAGACACATTACCTTTGTCCATGCCTTCACACGACTGAAGACACATTACCTTTGTCCATGCCTTCACACGACTGAAGAGACATTACCTTTGGCCATGCTTCACACGACTGAAGACACATTACCTTTGTCCATGCCTTCACACGACTGAAGAGATATTACCTTGGCCATGCCTTCACACGACTGAAGAGACATTACCTTTGTCCATGCCTTCACACGACTGAAGAGACATTATCTTTGCCCATGCCTTCACACGACTGAAGACACATTACCTTTGTCCATGCCTTCACACGACTGAAGACACATTACCTTTGTCCATGCCTTCACACGACTGAAGATACATTACCTTTGGCCATGCCTTCACACGACTGAAGAGACATTACCTTTGGCCATGCCTTCATACGACTGAAGACACATTACCTTTGTACATGCCTTCACATGACTGAAGACACATTACCTTTGTACATGCCTTCACACGACTGAAGAGACATTACCTTTGTCCATGCCTTCACATGACTGAAGACACATTACCTTTGGCACTCATGTGTTGGTCATTTGTGATGACCCTTGATTTACTTAACAAAATGAAATGTCAACTTTCCAAAGTACCAGTTGTTAAACTGGCAGATCCAGTCCATATTATTGTTTATTC